TGCTCGGCCTTTGTCCACTCCTCCTGCCATGTGTCCAAAGTCTTTTTCCTTTCTTCGTATTTTATTTTATCCTTGTTCAGGACCTTGCCATTTTTCTTCTTTTCTTCATTTCTATCGAATATCCTTTTCCTTTCTTCAATAATGTTTTTCCATGGGGGTTGCCCCGCCATGACACATAGCGCATCGTGAGAAGTAGTACGATATGCTCTAGTGATCCCTATTAGCATTGTTTTTTGTACTTTATGTATCCTTTTTTTATTCCATGCAATCTCCAGGGCCCCACACCACACAGGTGCTCCGTACAGGACAATGGACTCCACTACCCTGTAGTAGAGACACCTAGTGTGATGGGTGGGACCGTTGGTATTTGTCATGAGTCTGGCTAATGCTCCGGCCGTTCTTAACGCTTTCTCGCAGGTAATTTCGATATGGGTCTTGAAGGCCTGGTTGTCTTCTAAGGTCACTCCGAGGTACTTTACATTCTTGCTGTTTTGGATAATCGATTCGCCTATCTTGATTTCAATATGCCGTGTGAGTTTTCTGCCCGTTAGTAGGATGAACTCTGTTTTGTCCCCTGCCAGCCTCATATCCTCCATTTCGAACCATTTTTCAATGTTTTTTATTGCTGTGCTCATTTTTTTGTAATATCCAAGGAGTCTTTTCCTTGGATCATAAGGGCCACATCGTCCGCGTATCCTATTACATTAGTTCCTATCGGGAGTCTTATTCTAAGTAGCGAGTCGTATACGAGGTTCCACAATATGGGACCCAGAATGGATCCCTGTGGAACGCCCGCATACACATTTTTATCGTGCCATGAACCTTCGGTCAGGTAAGTTATTTTTCTATTCACAATATAGTTCTTTAGAATTTCGGTTAATTTAGGGCTGAACTTGCGTCTGTTAACCGCTTCTATTATGCTTTCTACTTGTATAGAGTTAAATGCATTTTTGACATCGAGGGCAACCAGCACGCAATGCAAGTTCTTTGTTTTGGCGTCGAACCAATGGCGCATCACGCTCGTAAGGGCGTGTACCGTCGACTTTCCTTTGCAAAATCCGTACTGGTTGCTCTCGAAGTCAGTTTGATTTAATATTCTACTTTTGATGGCGCGCTCCAACACTTTAGCAAGGTTAGATATCATGCAGAGGGGTCTCCACGCCGATGGAGACCCCGGATCGCCCGCCTTTTTAGGTATTAGGACCAACCTACCGACTTTCCACCTGTCCGGATAGTATCCCAACTCAAAGCACGCATTGTACATGTTTGTCAATTTATGAGGTCTTAATTCGGCTAGAGTCTTGATTAATTTAATTGGGATACCATCCAGACCAGGCGCCTTCCTCATATTTAGGCTACCAACGGTTTTTCGGATCTCCACAGTTGTAATTTCGCAGTCTGCACTTTCCTTTTTGTCGTTTTTTCTTATGCCTAGTATTATATCTATGTCTCTTTTTTCCAGTTTGTAGCTACTCCTATTAGGTTTCGGGGTTTGCGGCTTCGTAACGAATAATCCTTCAATGACCTTTTCCATATCCTCCTTGTTTATCCTGGTTGGTGGAGGTTTGGTTTTAAGGGACGCGAGGACAGCCCTGTAGGGTCTGTCCCAGGGGTCCCCATCCACCATTTTCTGCAACCTTTCCCATGATTCAATTTTTGCCATTTTAATTTCTTTGTTGAGGACTTTTTTCTTCTCCTTATATTTTTTCCTAAGTTCTTCGATTATAGCCTCTTCTTTTTTCTTTTTACATGCTCTCTGCAGATTTCTTCTGGCTATGTGACTGTTTTTTCTGAGCTGCAGCAGCTCAGGCTTCCACCAATGGGCTTTGGGTTTGTTCTTCACAATAGCCGGAAGTGGTATAAGAGCCTTCTTGACAGATTCCTCTATAGTATGGATGTATAGGTTGATATCTTCTCTTGTCCATTTTGCTTTACCAATGTTCGCCACACCTTCGTCGTATAGTTGTAAAAAGGTTTTATAGTTAATTTTGTGGTTTTTATTATTTGTGTCCTCGTTACTGTTATTATTATTTTTTCCTTTGTCCAAGATATGTATGAGATATTTATGGTCTGTCCTGTGCATGTATCTAATATCGTGCTGTTTTGTACCGTTTGAAAGGTTTTGTGATCCGTCATAATTATATCAATTAGGGAGGTTGCCCCATTCCTCTCAAAAGTATGGTTAAGCCCCGAACTCTTGATGGTGATTAGATCCTGGCTTGCGCACATATCTAAAATCCTACCACCCCTTTTGTCAGTTTTGCTGGACCCCCACTCCGTAGATTTGGAGTTGAGGTCCCCAGCTATTACAATTTGTTTATTGTTATTTTTGAGCTCCCTGACATTATCCTCCAATTCCTCTATTATTTTCATGAATTTATCATGACTTACGTTGGGGGATATGTAGCAGCTGATATAGACCGTGTTGTCTATCTCAGCTGCTACATATCCATTTCCTTTGGTTCCGGCTTTTACAGCCCCACAGCCATTGCTGCCTTTATTGGTAATCCATATGGCAGCCTTGCCCGTAGAGTCTGTGAGCCAGTTGTTCAGGGAAGTATAAGGTTCGCTTATTATCACGATGTCTATTTCTTCTTCATCCGTGGTTCTAGACATAAGGTCTTGTGCAAGACGACAGTTGTTTAGGTTAATTTGGAGAATTTTTCTGTGGTTATTTCTATTTTTATTGCTATTGTTATTGCTATTGTTGTTCATTGTCCTTTGTTGGTGTTGGTAAGTCTGTCTTTATTCTCACTGACCCCTTTCGTTCTTGTTTTCTTTGCTTCTCTATATGCTATTCTATATTTGGCGCACCTCGTGCTCCCCGTGGTGTGGCCTTCAGTGTCACAGAGCGCGCATCTGGCTGGATCTGTACATTGCTCGGCACTGTGACCGATCTTTGTGCACTTCCTGCACGCCTTGCTGAGATCTTTTCCCCCGCAATCCTTTGCCATGTGGTTGAATCCCCAGCACTTATAGCACCTGGTGATATCTTCCCTGACCACCACTCTGCATTCGCTCCACCTACTTTTAATTTTGCCAATTCTCTCCATCTCTTTCGCCATTACGTCGGTAGTTATTATAGTGACGTTTTGTCTTTCTCCATACGCCGGTCTTAATGCTTTAATTTCAACGGGTTCATTAATTCCTTTAGGCACGCTGTCCCTGATGGCTTGTTCAACGTCCTCTACCGTGGTGTTTTTGTCCAGGTCTTTTAAATGCAAAACCTTTTTAGGACCTTTCCTGTAATTGACATTGGCCTTGCAGCCTTCTATTTTTTCGTTAATGATTCGTTTGAACCTGTTTGCTTCTGTGCTGTCTCCTCTTATGGAGACCATTAGATTTCCCTTCCTATTGCTCTTGACTCCCGTTACTTTTATCTTTTCTTTTTCAACATCTATGTTTTCTTGCAAAGCTCTTAGCGTTTCCGCGTAGCTTTTGCTAGAGTCGCTGACTATTATAACTTCTTCATTGTAGTTCCATTTGTTTTTCTTTTTAAGGCTATCTTCTTCTTTTCTTGTAAATATCTTAAACATAACGTTAGCGTCTCTATATATAAATTCTATGTTTTTTCTTGTTTTCTTTAGCGTCCTCTTATCCTGTATATATACTGCTATTTTGTGTCTGTTATATGTGTCAGTCATTATTCTGAGTTTCTTAATAGTTTTGCTAATACACTCTTCTTGTGTGGTGTTTGTTGTCTCTTCCACTTGTATCAACGTCTCTTCTCTTTCCACTTGATTTGTTGTCTTGTCTTCTTTTCGTTGCTCCTTTCTTTGTTCACCAATTTCTAACTGGCACAGGAATCTCTCCCATCTGTCCATAGTACCTGATTTGTTTGGTATTAACAGAGTACGATTCAGGTACGCCATTTCACCTGGTTTAGCCTCCTGTCTTTTGATGGCTTCATATTCGTGTGGGTTTTCTATTATCTTTTTGTTGTATAGGTTCCCGAAGTTACCTTCTGATATGATTACCAGATCCCAATCTTTGTCTATGTCCTTAATTCTTCCTTTATCGATGCAGGTCTTTTGGTAGGCCTTCTCAGGCCATACTAGATTCATCAATTCGGTAAATTTGGTAGGGTCGCTACAGTTCCTAATTTGTTCCATCAGGAAGTCTTCATTAATGTCCTTGCTGCTGATGGTTTGCGTTTCTGCATCTGCAACGTCAGATTTCTTGATGCCGGCTCCGCATTTAGAGCACACCCTGGGCTCTTCCTTCCTGTTTTCTTCCTCCTTTGTCTTCTCTTCGAGTGCTCCTTTCATCCTCATTCAGTCAGTTCAAGACCCTTGAAGTTTCTGCAATCGCTTTTTTCAGGTCATCGGGTATCATTGTGGCTTTGGCCATTGCGTTAATCATTTTGATTTTGTCGGCCAGCTCCTCGACTTCTATGTCCATGTTGTCTTTCCTGTTTCTACCAGGGTCCTGAGTTTCGCTGACCCTCTTCCTTTTTCCAGCCTGTTTCGGAGAATCTTCCTCGCACTCGGAGAGGCTAATGATGCTAATCTCCTTGTTTAGCTTAAGAGCAATCTCCGATAGCGAGTGAGATCTCTCTCTGGCGATGAATTTCTCCGGGCTCCTTAATGTAACCTTGGACCTTGGTTTAAAGGGGTCCTTTACAGGTACGATCTCTGTGTCTTTATTGGTGCCAGTCGCTTTTACTGGTGTCTGGGCCTGGTCACCCACCACAGACACTGGGCGGTAGTTGGATGACTGCCGGGGGGAGCCCGCTCGCCCACTCCCATCACCGGCAGGTACTGGGGGATCCGAAGCCCCCTGCACCGTATACTTTTTTTTCGAGTAGGTCCAATCCATGATTTTTAAACAGGTTGACTAGTCATCAACCCCACTCCCAACTAGTCAGGGAGGGAGGGGGGGGGCGTGAAAGGCCTTGATGGTGTTTGTGTATGTATGTGAGTGTATGGAGTGTGTGTGTGTCTGTGAAGGGTCGTTATACCAGGGAGGATCGTAACATCCGTCCTGGGCGCGACCCTGTAATGTTGAGGGTACCATTTGTCCTGGGCGCGGGTATCCCTCAAGTGTGTGTGTGTGTGCTTGTGCGTGCGTGTGTGTGTGTGTGCGAGATTTTTCTTTAGGTGGGGCAGGATAGAGGGGAGGGGAAGGTGGGGACTAGGGACACGGCCCGGCTCGGCTATGCATCCCTTCGGCACGTACCAACGCCTTAGGATTGCCAAGCCGTGGGCCACTTGCGTCGTTAGCAGTCCCCGTCGCATCCACTCTTACTTAAGGTTTTCACTTTTTCAGGTTTCAACGCCGGGGACTCCCAGGGGCACCACGAGGAGGTGACGCAAGAGGACTTAGCTAGGTCAGGCCCTCCAGGGTCTCGAAGGGCAACCGCCAATGACTCTCCGAAGCCGGAGCTCCGGTGAGTATCGCATAGCATGCTGCCGTCAGTTCACCTTTCGGTTTTTGACTTCCCGATACACCATCCGGAAGAAAGCCATCGCCAGCCTCTGCCGATCCCCTGGAAAAAGGGGGATCGTCCCTACTCAAGGGTCCCAGGTCGGGAAATGGCAGAAGGTCCACCGATCACATCATCCAAAGATCAAGCGATCAAAAGACCAAATGCCCAGGCCTCCCAAAAGACACTCTGAGTCTCTGGGACCCCTCAGCGCGTGGCCTGGCGGGGATCCAACGCGAGCTACGTATTTCGTGCGACGTTGTGACGGTCTCAATGACACTGCGTGTCTCTTTCCATCCTCCAGCACTTAGGCACGAGAGCCTCTCGCTCAGACGCTCGGTAAACCAACTTCCTTCTTTACCCTGCGATTTCCACATGTAGCGTTTAATAACCTACGTATTAATTTAATCCCCTTTTAATATGTTGCTCAATATTTGGGTACAATACATTCTTTCAAAAGAAATAAACTTTTTCTTATTCATGTATTTTAACTTTTGACGTGTGAAAGCGTTCAGCGTCTCGTCAACATTCTCCGCCATTTCCAGACAATGGATGATTGACGGGCGCGTGCCGAATACAGTCCCCACTCCTTGAAATTGTAGGTAGGTCCTTCTTGAGAGGTTTGTAATATGTGTGATGGAGACAGACGACCGTAGGCAAAGACTCACGTTGACGGTCGCACGTCATTGGCCAAGTCGCGAAGAGTGAGAGAGACACAAGTGCCGTAGGTGTCTCGCGATCGCGGCAACACCGCGAAAACTCGGGCCTACCTCCCAGGCATCATCTTTCGAAAAACAGACCATAGAACAGTACCTAGAGGAATGTAAACAAAACAAACGTGATGAGGTGTTGGAGAGGAGAAAGAAGGCGATGGAGGAAAGTGGTAGGGAAATGGAGGGGAAAGTAGGTGACGAACCTTTGTCCTAATAAAGTTAATAACATACTAATAGCTTCAATCGTCAGGAATTGACAGACGAAATTTACAATAGGTTAACAATCAACTGACAGCGATGGATGCACGCGGGTCGATTGTATCTACGATCATAAACATTCTGATTGATGGTATATAATATATAAAATAATATATATTTTAAGAATATTTTTTATTTGCAATATATAACAGAATTAATTTTCGTCAGAAATGCTTTGCAAGATTCTTCATTAGATAGTATTTCTTGCTTATGATATATCCATTCTTCATCGATCTATCCACACCTCAATTACCCTATCATCAGATCAAGCATACGATATACGCCTATCCTATGATCCTTTGCCTCCATAACAAGCTAAACTGAATCCAAAACGGATGTTTCTTAACGAAGTTATACTCATTTACAGAAACGCATACCATTGAACCGTGCCATGCATACAAGACATGAAACCATAAAGAGGCAGGCGTTTCTATAAATGGCCATAACTTCGTTAAAAAACATGTGTTTTGGATGCAGTTTGGCTTGTTTTGAAGGCACAGAATCATTATTTCTGAAATACATGTAAAATTCCGAGCACTGTTGTCTATGAGGAACATTCGTTCTCAAATATGAACAAAATTTTACAATGTGAAGGCCCTCTTTATAAGGGAAGATTTTACCTCTTAGGCACCGAGTTAAATACAATCGAATGAAAGGGTCAAGAGTAGAAGGTTCAAGCTTTAATTTGCCTTTCATTTAAACAAATTCTGACGAATATTAACAAAGTTATGGAACATTGAATTTCAATAATTTTTCCCTAGTGCACAAGTGAGGCGATACTTTTGAACAGCACTGTAGTTTTAGCACCTCTTAGCACTTAATTTTTCAAGAAATATGTAAAGTCATGTCCAAGGATAAAAATATATTAAAAGTAAAGGGGTGCTTGGAGTACAAAAAAGTAATTCAATGTTTTATACTTGATTTTACGAAAAAAAAACACTGTTTTCAAATTGTTATTTTATCAAAACCATACAGAAAGGTGAAGGAAACAAGGTACTAAATTACTCTACATACCCTCCTCTATATCCTACATATGTTGTTATTGCACTTCCCTAACACTACACTTGTAATAAATCACTTTCTTAATATAGGTTTCTTGTTATTTTCTTCGAGTACAAAAATTGTTGACTTTCAAGCCTCAATTTGTTGCTAAATACTGCTGTTTTCGAAAAACCAAGATATCTGTTTACTTTTATTCATTCTTAGGAACATAGGGACAACGTTTCATTCATTTTGAACAAAGATAAAATTTGGGGTTTTGGCCAGCTTTTCGGGTCAATTACCCCACTGTGTGTCGTTCCGACGACTGTAACTTTTCTAACATTGTATTCTTTTACACTCGCGATCACACAATACATATTACCAGAAAAATGCTGGTACATGATTACTTTCATTTCAGTACTATATCAGTTTCGGTATAACTTTCCTAACATAATACTAGTAACAAAATAATACCGCTTTTAAATATCTTCTTGCAAATATTTGGAAAATTATAATAGAACAGGAAAACCGAAAAATTACCGATTAATATCGGTAAATATACCGGTATTTTCATATTTCGGTTTTTATGAGGGTTACGAAGGTACAACCGAAAATTACCGGTATAATACCCGTATTTTACGTTTCGGTAGACGTAGTGATGGGTGACCGAGCAGTTCGAGCTACTCGAACGAGCTCGGGTGACAGGTTTATAGTTTCAGCGGAGACCCGAGGCTCTGGCCCGCGAAGGCGAAGGATGTTATCTGGCCGCCGGCAACCGACCCTCGGGTTACAATGTAACACACGGAACGAATCACCCAGTAAAAAAAATTTTAACTTTTACTCCTTTCAGTGTACTTTCTTAAAAATGTTATGAATAAATTTAGGAGATTCTCCTGATGAAAATAAGTCCAAACCCGACATAAATCGGACTATATTTAATAACGTATAAGTTACTTTTTTACGGAAGAAATGTCAAATAAATCGGTTTTTCATTGTTCTAAGCACGACGCAGCTCACCAAAAAATCTGAAAAATTGCAAGGAAATCAATGTTTATTCATACGTTATGTTGCGATACAAATTCTATGTTATTAAATATAGTCCGATTTATGTCGGGTTTGGACTTATCTTCATCAAGAGAATCTCCTACATTTATTCATAACATTTTTAAGGAAGTACACTGAAAGGAGTAAAAGTTAAAATTTTTTTTCATGGGTGATTCGTTCCGTGTGTTACATTGTAACCCGAAGGTCGGTTGCCGGCGGCCAGATAACATCCTTCGCCTTCGCGTTCCAGAGCCTCGGGTCCCTGCTGAGATCATAAACCCGTCACCCGAGCTCGTTCGAGTAGCTCGAACTGCTCGGTTACCCATCACTAGGTAGAAATCCCTGCAGAAGACAAGAGAGAGTTTTATAATGTCCAGACTCGCACATCCTTGGCACCGTGGCCAAGTGGTCCCGACTGGTGTATGAAAAAAAATACAGATGTTGCTCTAAGAATATACGAAGAGAAGCGGGACCTCCACTTTCCCGTGCAGCTTTCCCTTCCCAAAAAGTATTCACAAGTTATCGACATCTTCTACGGGGTAAGTAGACAGCTGTTCTACTGACTTTTCCTGCACGTCGTTGCGTCTTTAAAGTGACTGTACGCCCCTGTTGAGCCGTGGTCCGCTGACTCCCCGTGCCTGCGGATTGCCATCATTTGGGTCAATTTTTAAACGCTTATAACTAGCAAATGAAACATTTGTCGCAATTTTGTTATTCTTGATTTTCGTCTTATGTTGTCTCAAAGAATCATCCCTTAATTTTTTCCCACTAGTAGTCGAAATTTTTAATTTAATTATAAAAGATTTACTCTAAAAATTAAAAATTCACTTATACAATTTTTTTCACCATCTGATTCGCCTCTTGAAACCATTAAGTTATGTAAAAAATGTTTCTCATATGATCACAGATAAAAATATTTAGGTTGCCTCTGGTTAGCGTAACACCCTATATATCATGTAAACTTAAGGAACACAATTCAAGCTATTGGGTCTATTTATTTCTCCAACTTCAAAGGATATGATATTGAAGTGGGTCGGTACTCCGGGAGAAGATACACATTCCCGTCCCTATTCATTGGAAACAAGTGCAAGCAGTGTGACAATAGAAAAATTCTGTTTACACAGTCTGTCCGGTTATCGCTTGTTCACGTGTGGGGGACACTATTGATATGGAAAATACTGAAGTAACGAGACTGTGCGTCACCATAAACAAACATCATTAACAGTGCACAAATATGAATCACTTTGCTCTCTGTTGTATTTTTTTCACATGATTTGTTATACTTTGGCTGTTTCCATGACTATCAAATGAAACATTGAATATTGTCAGTCAATAAACTCGTAGTTACAGTGGAATAAAACGTTACAAATTATAATGGAAACTGTATGTATTGCATACTTGTAATGGAGCTGTATGAATATACTGTAACTGGCAGATAAATTATTTCGAGGTTATACAGGGTGTGATTAAAGATGTGGAGCACTTTCACAGGGTGAATTCTATATGCTGAACTACGACGAAATTGCTTTCGAGGCTTCACTTCCAAGTTATTAATTGTTGAAAATACCAGCGAAATAAGCGCGAAATAAGCGCCAAATACGTCTGATCCTTAGGGTTCTTCTATTTGAAAGGCGCGCACTTCATCAGTTTCACGAGTGAGTATCATTCATTTCATTTTATTTCATATATTAAATTTCACTAGGTCATCGATCGAGCTCTGTATCAGCTGGGAATCGGCTGTTCGAGTATTATAACCCATCGCACCAGACGTATTTCATACTTATTTTGCCTGTACTTTTTACATAACTTGGAAATGAAGCCTCGAACGCAATCTCAGTATTCTTGATTTTTGTCTTACAAGGGAACACACCGAAGTGACAATCACGGATGTTGATGTAGCTCCGTGAGAAAGTAGTTCTTATATAATTATTTGACAAGTATTTTTCTTTAGCTGTAATCATCCATGTT